TCTGATATCACGCGTTGACCAAGCCCAGTGCCTCCTAGACTGAGAGCCCCTGTATCACCACAATTAGAGCGTTGTGTGTCGCGTCGCGCATGCTCAACATTGAAATAGATGATATTCTGTGCTCGCAGATTAGTGACTTGGTCTGGGAGTTGGTCGTGCGATGTGTAAATTTTCTACTTCCGCAGAAAATATTCAGACTGAGCGTCTCTAAACGCGTGATCCACCAGTCCTGCAAATTTTCCCCTGGAATTTTGTGTGCGAGGAGGGAGAATTAGATTAAGTACTGTAAAACAGCACGTAACACCACCAGTTTTGCGCAGTAGAGTTGAATATGAGTCAAGGGTGCCCCTTATCGAATTCCATTGCTCTGCTATTCTATCACGTTCTATAACGGCCTTGAAATACAGATTAATCTGTAGTATTTCTTCACAGATTGTAAAGTGAGTGCGCTCGGAGAAACTGTGGGTGAGATAAATTTCGACACAACTCGGGTTTGAGTGTTTACGAACCTTCTGTGCATCTTTCCAACACCCAGCGGCTTCGAGGTCTCCCAATTCCTGGAACCAAATATTCAGCACAACTTCAGAACATGCTCAATTTAAAAGCAAAACCATAAAGCATCTAGTGATATTTCGGCCATCCCGCAAGCTTCCCGTGCCAGACATCTCATCCACCGAGTGGTTGAGGATGAACAGCAGGTTCACGCAATCACACGCGACCCCAATGACACGCGTCCTTAGAATGTGAATACGCCATGGCTGCCAAGGTGCTGAAGTTCGCTGCTCTGAACTTCCTCAGGCGTGGAGCAGATAAAATGCCGAGGGCCTTGATCCAAGGAGTGTTTTCTGCTGAAATGACAGACTCCCACCAGTTCAGAGAGAGAGGAACAGCCACTTCCCGTGGATTTCACGTTCAGGGCAAAAGCATACTGTAACCATAAATTGTCCCATGAGCAACTCAGAGTGTGAATCAAACTATATGTTTGAAAACTGAACGATACTTCAGATGCCGCGCTAGACGTCGTGACATCTCTGACACCACAAATCCCAGAAGGACAGCCTCACACAGAAGAGTAGAGAAATCTGATCGGATATTGCCGAGGAATGGTACACATTTAACACTAAGCTTGGGGACCGACCCGCACGAAACAAGAATTCGACGGTAGCGAGGTCACCTGAAGGCCGGGTGACTGCCCATGTACGCAAAACGGGAAATTCTGAGGGCATTATTTGAGTCAATCATATTTCATTGCAGAATCCACCAGGTCTACAGTAGGGTGATTCCCTGGGTGAAAAGACGAGAGCGCCCACTGGGTGCATTAAGTAAACACTATTGTTCAATCCAGTTAGGTCCAAGTTATCAAAGATATACATCTGGAGCAGCGGTGAAGGCGGACGATCCGGACTAGAATCCTCCAAGAATGAGCACAGGAATAAGAAGGTAGAAGACAAGCACCTGGCAAGCACCCACATCAAATACTGTATGTGTAAACAATTAGAGAACATCATCAAACGTCAAACAAAATACGAAGTTAACCACGAAAGGAATAAAAATCACACCAAAATTGCCTGAATCAGTAAACTTTCCAACACGAAGCGCATACGTCATGACAGAAAGTTCGTCTGGGTTGGCTGTAAAAATGGAGATAAAAACGAGTCCAAAAATAAATTTTTAGGACTCGTAATCAACACTTGTCTCATTTTCACAGGCGACGATGGATTAGTCGGGTTTTCGCCGCTCTTTTGGGATGGCAGCACTGAGGCAGACCAGCGGCATGCTCACCTACTTTCATCGGCTCAATGATTCAACCCTCCTGTTGGGCACACAGCAGTTCAACTCCCGCTGCCGGTGTAACGTAACCCATTGAGCGCTCAAGTTCTTCTATCCCCAGCTGATTCTCGTTTTCCACTGATTTTACCTCCTGGTGTGTATGGTGTTCTCCAAGTTTGCCGCGGCAATAACTGTTCCAGATTTGCTTCCTGGCGTCGCAGGCACCACAGCAAATGAGCACCCAGTGGGACGACCCCGCGGAACAGCACTGGAATGGTTTTGTTTCCAGGTGCGAGAGTCCATGCCATTATCTGGTTTACAGTACTGACGTGAGCGGCCGAGCCGGTGATGAGCACTCAAGCTCAAGATTTTCGTCGGCTTCGCCTTCCAGCATTCCTTGGTTGGTCGTCTTCTATGTGTAATTGACCATTGCAACAGCACCAATTCCCAGAGAGTGATCATCAGGTAGTTCGCATCCGGTCTCAGCGGCGCCGTCGAGTGTCTATGCCGACATACGACAAATTAGGCCAGTAATTCATGCCGCCTTTTTGTGGGGCTCATAGTGTAACTGCTTCTTCTTGCCAGGTCGCCATCCGTATCTGTCGAAATTGGAGCGTGACACGGCGCGGGCTGGACCTCCTCCGACGAATCGTATGTTTTTTGTTTTTTCAACCGTGGGATTAATTTCGTTGAAGCTTGTTACATAATCATAGTTCCGAGATATTTCCTGTCCTGGAGCAGGATGTTCACGGTCAGTTGATTTGTAGGCTGGATGTGCGTCGAGTCCAATCACATAAAACGCACATAATGGCATGCACAATAAAGTACCGTTTTACGTTGAGAATTGCAGTGCAACTCGTCGAATGCTTTGAGTTCTATTCATGATGCACCAGAAAAGTAGAGGGAGAAACCCATGATATGAGCCTTCCTCAATGGCGGTACAGAGCTTTACCATCAGTATCTAAGTTTGGTGCAGGTAGCGCGTCACACAAGTGTTTGTCGAACCTCACATTAACTCTGAATCTACTCAAAAGTCGAAATATCGTGTCGAGATTGAAAACTTTCAGCGCTCACCCCAACTTAACTGGTGTCGGAATATCGAATTGGTTCAACCAGCTCACGCGTCACATCTGGGTTCAATTTGAATGGACCCACTTCTTACCTGACAAGCTTGCTTATTCACAATGCCAAATTTGGCATGCGATGAGCTCGCCTTGCAAGCTGACGAACTTGCCCTATCAAATAACGAAGATCCTCATCCTACGTAGTGACGAAGTATGTGAGGGCTCTTGAGTTGGGTCGCAGGCATCTAGATTTCCCTCTTTTTGCTCACCATCTACCTCCTCTGCCGTCGCCGAAAATCCCCTGGAATAAAACTTCTCATAGTGACGAGTTGCATTATGGCTTCTTTGGGAACAACGCAGATGGCAGTCACGATCGCCCTGACTGTTATAGAAGCACACTTCGTCCAACAAGTTGTTCACTTGCAGGTCTTGAATGAACACGAGCTGTCCAATGATTCAGTGTTGAATACCGTATGGAATGTCATCTTCTTTATAAACAAGTGAGTAACCCAATCTCCATTTCGAATTGGAACCCAGCCCATTGCCCAACCACCAGTTTTGTAACAGATTCCCTTTTCGTTGAGTTTTCTCATTCATAGTGTCTGTATGCGGATTGATAGACTTTAGTTGCATCGCTGCTATGTGATATGGGGATTCCGCAGGAAGGTAGTCATCGTGCCTGCACTGCTTATGCTATCTACCTTCGGTAAGTCCATTTCTCAATTTTAACCCACCGCTGGATGGCACTGACCGGTTCCTGCGTAGTTATGGGGATCGTGGGGGCCACAATATTCATTGGCGCTCTCGTGACGAGGCAAATCATAGTCAGCCTGGCTACTGCAACCAATCTAGTTCTCACAGCTCTCACAGGCAAGTCAGTATACTCAATCGTCTACATTCAATGCTGAAAGGCTCGTTCAGCTGGTCGGATATTATGGATCCAGCGTGCAGCATCACATGTTGGTCTTGACCGCACACTCCGTAGTCGTTACAACACGGCCATTAGACGAGCCACAGCCCTAATATATAAACAAAAGTAGATGGCCGCAGCCATGGTAAGTGCTGTCTAAAACCACGAAGTCAGTCAGGAGGTTGGCTAGAGCCATGCAGGCGTACAAAGGGCCTGTTGGGCCATTTTGGGGGCACCCCAGGGGGGCCCGGGACCTTTGGGTGTATTTGGCGTCTGATGGACAGCAATAAATCTTTTTTCAAAATTGATCTACCCAGTTTGCGTATTGATGGCTCATTTCTTTGTCCTCGCGCACCTTCCCACGCTTCGTGCTTCCGAATGCGGGCTTCATTGCAACCGGTCCTTTTCATTGTTTCCGCTTTCACCCGAAACCCACCCGCCTATCCCCGCCTCCTCGGCTTCCTCCAGGACATTCCCACGGGCCACACCTGACTTAATTGCAGCCGGTCCTTTTCATTGTTTCCGCCCTCACCCGAAACCCACCCGCCCATCCCCGCCCGCTTGGATTAATTGCAGCCGGTCCTTTCCATTGTTTCCGCCCTCACCCGAAACCCACCCGTCCATCCCCGCCTCCTCGGCTTCCTCCAGGGCATTCCCACGGGCCACACCTGGCTTAATTGCAGCCGGTCCTTTTCATTGTTTCCGCCCTCGCTTGAAACCCACCTGCCCATCCCCGCCTCCTCGGCTACCTCCAGGACATTCCCACGGCCACACCTGGCTTAATTGCATCCGGTCCTTTTCATTCTTTCCGTCCTCACCCGAATCCATCCGTGCATCCCGCGCTTCCCAATGCGGGGTAATTGCACCCGGGTCACCCACTTTTATAATATTTATTGCTGCATTAAATCAGGATATTCGGGCGCATGTGTAAACATATTGAAAGAAATTACTGTTGAAAGGTGCTATTAGCCATCTCACGTCCAAAAGACGCGGTGTTTACATGGATCTACTTTGGGTGCCTTGCCTCCCCAGTTTCTTTTTGCGGTGGAAGTTGTATGAGAAGAAAGGGAAAGAAGGAAATGTCGCCGCACTCAATGCTTCTCGGTGCTTACATGTATTCTGCCGCGATATTGTATAAAACCACCCATTGTTTACAGGTGTTTAATTCGGGTGCCTTTCGCTTGTGGACCCTCAGTTTTTCCTTGCCAGGCTTCCAGCTATACTGTGTCTCAATATCTAAGCCTAATAACCCTAATGTCCCGATGGTAAAGCGGTAATACATCAGTTTCATGTTTTCGAGTTCTGGTGTTGATGTTGCACGTTCGACTCGCGCTCGGGAGTCGGTCTGATGTCTCCCCCTTTTTTTTTTCTCTCGTTCGCTCCGTTCCGTTTCAGTTATTATAAATAAATATAGCATTCAAATAGTTCAGAATTTGCCCTTGAACAACTCGTAATACGCAGCCATCCCCTCCATCATCCAACAAACATCCATCACAGCCGCTTCCCACCGTGCCCGAAAATCGACATCATCACCCAGCACGCTCCCCCAGAAGTACAGGGAGGCCACAAGAGTTAGAGTGCCGTTGGTTCCCCATTGATAGAGGGGACCCCACTCCCTCCCTCCTGCACCATACCCTCCCACGACGCTCCACTCGCCGTCATCCCCTTTTTTCTCCACGCTGGCTGCAATGAGTCCCACCAGGTGCGCCACTGTGCCGCATAGGCGCCTGGGTCTCCAATTGTCGGCACGCGTGACCCCCGACCCTTCGCGATCCACCCGGACATAGGCTTAGGGCGGTGCTTGCTGGGGAGATTAGTGGGTCCATGCTCAAACCGCGATGCCGCCTCGACACGGGTCCATGCTGCCACCAGTGCGTGGAAATGGCACCCCAGGTCCTTTTCCGTGACTGCCGCGTGCCCATCCACAAACCATGCAGGCGCGTTGGAGGGGCAAGGCATCGTGAGAAGGTTTTCGCTACCTTCGCTCTCTCGCGCACGACTCGCGCCACGAGTCGATCGCCTCGAGCGCGTTGCTATGGCAACCTGCACAGCCCGTGAGACGGGCGGTAACTGCGTGGTCGGTGTCGCACTCGGTCCCGACGTGCCTGTCACCGTCGTTGCGGTCGCCGACGTGTCTCCTGGGGCTGCGATCGCCGCGGCGGTACCGATGCTCGTGCTCATTGTCGTCGGGGCGGTGGCGGCGGCGGCGGCGGCATTGTTGGTGTCCATGGTGCTGGGGCCTGTGCTCGTCGTCCCGCCTGCGCTGATCGCTGTGGATGGGGTTGTTGCTATGATGCTCATGCTCAGTGTTGTCGGGGCGGCGGCAGCATCGGTGTTGCCATCCGTGGTGCAGGGGCCTGTGCTCGTCGTCCAGCCTGCGCTGCCCGTTGCTGTGGATGGGGTCGTTGTCAAGTGGTGGAGATCCCACATAATGATCAGCGCACCTTGGACGGTTGGAGGCGGGTTAACGCTGGGGCTCATGCTAGTCGTGGCGCCTGCGCTGCTGGTTGCTGTGGATGGGGTCGTCGTTAACCAGAGAGGATCCCACACAATCATCAGCGCACCTTCGATTAAGCGCGAGTTCGTGTCTGGCAGGTTATCCGCCATCACCACGTCCTTATCCATCCCTTCTGTCGCGTTTCGCGTAGATCGACGGAGTGCTCCTGGGGGCGGTTGTTTGACCTTCGGCCGGGGTCTGGGCTGCTTCGTGCGCGCTGCTCTTATCGGCTCTGCCACCTCGTGCCACGCCACCTTCAGGTCGGCTAGCATGGTGGCATTGCGATGGATATTAGCCTGCCGTTCCTCCTCGCTGATTTGATACCAGGGGAGTACGGGGTGTGACGGTGCAGCTTCCTCGTCCTCCTCTTCCTCGTCCTGATCATCCTGCTCGTGGTCGGCATGGTCGTCGTGGGGCCGGGGCTCGTCGTGGGAGGAGGTGTCTGGAGCAGACGAGATGGAGTTGGAATTGGGTGTAGCAGACGCGGCGGAGGCCGCTGCGAGAGTCAGATTGGGGTCATCAGCCACGTTGGGAGACTGGGAGGATGGGCGGGGTTTCGTTCGAGCTTTCGCTTTCCCCGCTACCTTCTTATTGCCTGAGTGCCGTTTCCCTGCCATTGTGGTCTTATCCTTGGAGAGCTTTGCTTTTTTACGACTGCGCTGTGCTTCCTCTTCATCAGACCACATGTCTACGGCGGAGTCAGAGTCAGAGTCAGACTCAGAGCCACTCTCCGAGTCAGAATCATCTTGGGGACTGATGGTGTAGTTGGCTCCAGCCAAGGCTGGAGCCAGCGCGTTCCGGATACAATCTTGCGGCGCTGTTTTCCAATAAATGTCAGATCGTCTCGCTATCCCGGAAGTTTTTTGGTACGCACTGAATGCTGTTTGCAGGTATTCTACCATAAAATTCGTTACATTTGTTGCAAACCGAGGACGATCCCATTGCAGCCAATGGGGGCCGAGCATAGTGTTGCTACGACCATATGATACACTATTCTCATGTCAGAACTCATATTTTATTATATTGGCGTAGGCGACTTACTGAAGCGTCCGAAGGTCCCCTCCGTAACGGGGCATTGGGCCTCCACACATAATGGTGGAGTGGAGGCCGGTGTACTCCTCAATACCGCGCAGGATTGGGGCCAAAAAGTCGGCCAATGCGTCAATACACCTGAAACGTATCCTTAGTCCAGGCTTTGACGAGGCATGAGAGAGCTTACCTTTGGCGGTCCTCGGGCTTCATGGACGGCCGATCCTTGAGTGACTTCAGGTATGCTTCTTTCGCTGCCACTGCGTCTTCCTTTGCCCGCACTGCAATTTGCTTCTGCTCATCCATCGGCAATGCCGCGAAGGCTTCGCGAGCGACCTCTGCACGAAATCCAGCCTTCGGTTCCTTGGTGCGTTCAGAGACACCACTGCTGTCCTCGTCCCGCAGGCGCGACCACTTTTCGGCAACAACAGGGGCGATCTTCTCCGCGTATGACTCACGCATGAATTGTTGGTAGGCTTGTCTTGCTTTTGGCGGTGCATTCACACCGGAAAGTTTGGCCAGGAGAACAGCAAAGGGGTTCTTGGAGGGGTCCAGCCCACTTGAGATTCTGTGTTTGTAAAGCTTTCGGATGCGGTAGGTAAACCAGCGCCAAATGCGCTGTGGAGATTCATGAAGACGCGTGTAACACTTTGTGACTGATGTGACCAACCTTGTTGAGCTCTTTGACGCGTCGACCACGCGCCTGCTCCTCCTCGTCCGTCAGCGTTTCTGTGACCAACGGCGCCGATGCATCCCATTCCCCCAGCTCTGGCTCCTCGTGATCTTGGACTCTCCAGTTCACCCGTGCATGAAACTCCCGACAGACTTTCCTCAAGAACTTGCGCTCGTGCTGCCACCCTTGATCCATGGCCTTCGCATAGTCGTCGAGATAAGGAGCTAGGATCGTCTCCCGTGCCCCCTCGGCCCACAAACGGAGATTCTTACGCTTTTCTTTTGGAACGCGTGGTCGAACGCGTTTTTGACCCGACTTTGCCATATCTGCTACAATATGACATTCAGAATCATCGTTGCTGAATGTACAGCCCAAAATTTAGTCTCTCACCTCGATCTCTGGTCTATCTTCTGGTCTATCTTCTGCTGATCTGGCTCTGTTTATGCTGGTGGTGCGATGCAACAATTGTTTTATTTGTGTTTATATCAAACCTGCCGCCAAACCTCACACGCTCCTCCTCATGCGACCATCATTTCGGAGTTTCAAAAGCCCTGGGCCCTATAAAAGCCTGCCAACATTCGCTTGAGTCGCTACCCCCCCATCTTTCGCACCACCATGACCTCCTTTAACAAAGCTTCTTCTGGGACAGAGTCTTCTGTCCCTGTAGCAGCCACTGACGCCGGTGATCGTAAGTCTTCCTTTCCATTCCATCTCATCCTTGAATAAACCCATCCCTTAGAAAACATGATCGCCGCTGCTGCCTTCCGCACTATGCTTAGCACGATGGCAGATTTTTCCCAAGGTAGGTTTCATTTACAGTCGCCTGCGTTGTTCTAAACTATTCTACAGCTTCCGCTCCTGCCCCTGTGGTGGCCGCTGCTTCCTCGGTTGCCCCCACCGCCGGACCCGTCGCCTTTCGCACCCGCGGGCCTTGGGTTGCCAGCGCCCTCTACAAGGTGGTTCCTGGCGGCCCCCTTGTGGCTGTCGCTGAGGATGAGACCAGCGAAGAAAACCCCCTCTGGTATTGCATCACCAAGGGCTTGTACGTCGGCGTCACCCTCAACAATGCTCTCGCTCTCGGGGCCGTCTCTGGTGTTTCTCGCAGCTCCATGAAGTCCTTCAAGTCCCAGGTTCTGGTGCTCGCCTGCTTCAACGAGCTGCTCGAATATGGCATGGTCGCCGTCTATGCCTGATGGCGGTACAAATCCTCTCTTTATCTTACCCTGGTTCTTTTCTGAAACCCGCGAGTCTAGGCTTTCCTCAAATGGGTGGTTCCACGTGGTTTTTGTTGTTCTCTGGCGTAGTTTATTATTCCCGTCGCGTAGTTTTACCCTTTCGTCGCGTAGCCTGTTCCTTTCGCGTATATCGAGATTGCAATGAGATTTTGATGTGCCATTTCGCGTCTAAATTAGCACTGCATCGCCACCGGATCAAGGTTCCATGGAGGCAGATCGTCGATCATCTGCTCACACGGTCTCACAGTTCTCACACAGTTCTCACACATCTCCTGATGCTTCCTTGGCAAGATGAAGCGGCAAGATGAAGCCTGGATCTCCGTGCGCACGCACGCGGCTCGCTGCGCGATTACTCCCCTGGGCTATCCTGGAATCCAGCTAGGTTCTGGGTGGCAAGCTATGTCTTTTCCTTTACTAATTTTCTCTTTCCTCCTTTGCCGCACGTCTTCACGAGAACAGTTCCTCTTTTCTTTGGCTGGCTTCGGACCTTCGACTGATTTTACCATCAGATGTCTGATTGCTTCTGATGGTTTCCAGGTTGCGCTGATTCTTGATTCTTTATCTTGTCGCGGAGCCATTCTTCATCCTCCCTTTTTTCATTCCCATTGCAATACTCTCTCCACATGACTGCTGACAACGGTCCTGACAAATACGACGACGAGGCTTTCGCCAACCTCATTGCTAATCTTGACCTTCAAGATGTGCGCCTGTCCCCAGTTTCTCCTGTGGCCCCGCCCCCTCGAACCCCATCTCCGCGACCCCACCATATACGACTCCTCCAGGCCATCACACGCTCCCGACTGTTCGCTCACGAACCTACACCGCCAACACTAGTATGCCTATGATATATCGCTATGATTCCCCAACGCAAAGCGGCCACACAACTCAATGGTGTGTTCTCCTCTTC